TGATAAAAATGAATGAAATAGCAAGGTTAATAGTTTTTACCTGCCCATGACTGCTCTGTGTATCCACCAAAGATGTACCCCCATGTGCTTTTGATCACCACCATTGTTGGTCCACTGAATGAATCGCACTTGGAATGAAATATTGAAGAGGCCCATCCATCCCTAGAACCACGGTACAGGAGAGTGCACTTCTTGAATTTCTGGTCTTCTCCATGGATTGCGGACAAATAAATACGCTGCGCTGTCGAAAGAATCCTTGAATAATCATAGAGCTTGCTCAGTTGGAGAGGAGGAGGGCCGCTAGGTTTAGCAGTGAGTTCGTTTACGATACCCTGTATTTGGTAGAATTTTGCTTCTTCCAAGACTTCTTTCTCAACCAACTTGTCATCCGGTAGCAGAAGTTTACCATTTCTCAAGTAATTCAGGATGTAGCGGAAGTACGTGCCATCTCGGTCGATGAAGTAGCTGCCGTCTTCTGCTGGTTTGGTATCAAAACGACCAGAAAACATGGCATGAAGCATGGATCCAGCATCTTTGGTCAGTGTTTGAAGACTTGTGGTGCAGAATTGTCCGCCAACATTGAGTTTAATGGTGTCCGAGAAGTGAACGTGTTCTAATTTCTTGGCGACTGAATCGAACGCTTCTTTCTCTTGGCGGAGTCGCTGCACTTCCCACTTCAAGATGCTGTGTATTTCTTTCACTTTCTCATCGACCTTAAAGAATGCTTTTTCACTGGGCAATTCCTCGTCAGTAGGGACTTCTTCGTTAGACATTATTGTTATATCAGGCAAATGATTTTTTAGGTTATTGCTCAGTTTCAATATCACGTGCAATGATCTGCAGACTGATTTCGCGGAAAAGCATTTGTCGCTGCGTGACCTCGGAGCAGGGTTACATTATCTGTCGAAATGATTGGGTTTCCGGGAAAAAATTTTATTATGATTTTATTATGAACAAAGCAAACAACACCATACGAAATATTCAAGTCGTAAAATCGAGAAGGTAAAGAAAAGGGGTGGTCATGCACATAAGAACCATAGATAAAGGGCTTGTGATCCCTTTGGTGTTTATTAGTCTGTGAAGGTCATATACCTCAATTTCTGAAACGTTGAAATTTGGATCGCCTGTTAAGAAATTAGTGGCTGTTTGACCCGATGGTAGCTTGTAAGTATGACCAATATTTGAACAACATTCCCTGTTGATGTATGGATTGATGCTGATATACAGTTCATGCAGATTCCCACCAAATACTGGTCCAACACCGTTATAACAGTATATTGCTTGTCCTTGATTCTGGTAAACTTTCATCTGTGTAATTGGAATTATTCCCGAAGGATTCAGCAGACTAAACAAAAAAGCTTCGTTGTCTGCTTTCCAAAGACGATTTCCTAAAACAAATGAAATGCAGCTTATGAATACTACTGCACACTCGTAGTGAGGAAAGCTAGTTAAAAAAGCATTCCTAAATGATAGCATGTAACGAATGACCCTATCTATCGTGTAACTCTCTCTAAACTATAATACTTCATTTGTACGAACCCGAGTACGAAGTCATTCTATAGTACGATGGAAAATATCGTTAAACTAGGGTGAGTATAGTTAACTTTTTCAGGAGGAGCCGACCAGGTCTGTTCTTCTAAATAACTGTTCTTATACGATTTTTRTCMTGAGAAAAAGTGAATGAGAACTAGAATTATAAATTGGGAAAAACTCTCCCTTACGGCCGTTACCACTTGAGTATTGAAGAGATACAATTGGAGATATTCGAGATTTTCCTTCCTGCAAAGATCGTGAAGAGATTCCTAGGATTCCTCTCCGTGATTAAAAAAAKATATTCCTGAATGTATTATTTGCTGGCAACCAGTTGTAACTTACAGCTGTCTGGGACATAAGAACAGATATATTTCTCCCAGGAACCCTTCGTCTCCTCTTGCTTTTTTCTTACAGACGATGGAAATTGCAAAATGACTAAACATAAACACTCTCTATGACATTATGAAATGAATTATTTCAATATTGGTTAAAATGTTTTGTGCATTTTGAAGAAATAGTCAAAAGAATAATTTTCCCTGTGTTCATTTAGATGTGACCACTATGGCTAGATTGTGCACGGTCACGCTTGGGAAATGTAAGTGCACAAAAAACTACAACAAAAGCTTCCTAACCATTTCCCTCTAGGAACTATGGAGCTCCGTAAGTGTTTCTAAAGAAACAGTTGTTCAGAAGTTGTTCAGAAGCATATGCGTCTATGATTCCCTGTATCTGGTAGAAGTTTGCTTCTTCTAAGACTTCTTTCTCAACCAACTTGTCATCTGGTAGCAGAAGTTTACCGGTTCTCAAATAATTCAGGATGTAGCGRAAGYACGTGCCATCTCGGTCGATGAAGTAGCTGCCGTCTTCTGCTGGTTTGGTATCAAAACGACCAGAAAACATGGCATGAAGCATGGATCCAGCATCTTTGGTCAGTGTTTGAAGACTTGTRGTGMASAATTGTCCGCCAACATTGAGTTTAATGGTGGACGAGAAATGAACGTGTTCCAATTTCTTGGCGACTGAATCGAATGCGTCCTTCTCTTGACGAAGCCGAAGAGATTCTGTCTTCAAGTTCAAGAAGATGGTATGAATTTCTTCTATCGTCTCATCGACCTGTGCAAATGCCTCGCCGCTGGGTAGGTCTATTTCTTCGTCGCTTGGATTTTCTGAGTCCTTTTAGATAGAAAGTTCTGTTTCACCGTCTTGAGACATTCTGAATCATCTCAGATTAAACTCGTGCAAAGAAACTGAAATATGCTAACTTTTTACGTCGCATGACGTCAATGACCCTTTCAGACTGGTTTCGCGGAAAAGCGCATAAACCGTTATGTGACACATCAGGGGTTACATTCTGCACGATGTTTTCGAGTAAACTAGACGCTCTTGGAGCGTGAAGTCGGACTAGCTATTTTTGAATGTATATCATGGCGTAGAATATTATATTTTTTACTTCTAATACATAGTGAAAGCAAGAATGCGTAACCGTTTATTCACACGATACGATATTCTTTTCGACTGCTCTCTGCAACGACTTCAAAACGATAGAAATCTAAATTTTGACCTAAAAGGTCATGTAATTAATACTTACTAGAGACTAGATGTCTCTAAGTGATATCATATCTAATACGTTTTTAATTCAAATTGTTGACCTCTCAGGCCATGAAAATAAATACTTTTAAAAGATGCCTATAAAATAATCAAAGTCGCCTTTTTGTTATTGATCAACAAAGTTTCTTCTTGTTCTAATTTGAAATCTTTGCCCCCACAAGACTGTCTAACACTAGAAAGGATATTGATTCAGTTTTGTAAGCATACAAATCGAAACTCTATGCGATCTGCACATGCGAGTACTTCTAATGCCTAGACAGATGCATTCCGATGAGATCACAGATACCACATTTGTAAACGAATAGTTTTTTTGTCATATAAAAGCCAAGTAGCATATGACATTTACTAACGATATTCGTACATCAATACGCTTGAGCTTCCGGTCATGTAATAACACAGCCAACCCAATAGTTAATTATTAAATTCTTAACTTCCGGTGGTCCAAACGCGACATAATACATAGATAGATAGATAGATAGATTGATTGATAGGCTAAAAGGTAAAACTAAAGTCGACCTAGCCTTCGGCTAGTCCGACTAAAAAACCCAGACACCTTATTTAAGTCATATATTTTATAATGTAATTATCATATTACAAAATATTCATCTTTCTATGCGTGCCAATTCATGATCGGCTTAATCCACAAAAAATAGCTTAAACTGAAAGACTTTTTCTTCAATGGTCTAGCTCAATGGCTTTCAAACTAAGCTAGCCGACTTAATGAACTGTATGTCTACAACAATGAAGTGTCATATTAAACGAGCAAAGTTTGTGTCCAAGATGACTAGTAATCTTCTTCCATGATGAGTTCAAACACTTCTATTTCAGATACCCTGAAATTGGTGTGTCCAGTCAAGAATGTGGTACCTGACTGTCCTGATGGGCATTCATAAGTATGACCAATATTGACAGCGCAGTTACTTGAGTGAGGGTTGTTTGAAATTAAAAGATCATGCCCTCCTCCAAATGTTGGTCCATAGCCTGAATTGCAATATATAGCATGTTCACCATTTTTGGCAGGATTGATCTTCATTATGGCAGGTTTCAATGAGCCATAATTCTTGAGACTGAAGAGAAAGGCTTCAGCATCTACTTTGTAAGCACCAGAAGCTATAGAGTGAAAAATTCAAATTTATGATGTTGTGATTATAGATTAAATCTCCTAGTGTGAGTTTGCATTTGTGTAGATTACTGATTACTGCACTGGACACTGAAGTCATCCTGGGTAAAACACATTATAAAGGTTGTGTACGAAGGGGTAAACAAGCCAGGGACCCTGGGGATAAAAGTACAGGGGATGCTCTTTGGATCTCTCTGGGGTAAAAATTCAAGATTAGAAATCTTTTCTCAAATTTGGAGTTTCTGGAAAATTTGCATTTTCGGCAATCACTTGGGATGTCAGAAAAGAAAAGAAAGAGCGATCAATATTGATTTTTCTCTGCGTTCTTATCATTGGAACTGATTTAATTGAACGATATTTGTTGTGCAATCTCTTAGGTGTAAGAAATCAGTCAGCCAC